ATGTAATGAGATGAAGTCTGGTTATTGCAACAGCACTGAATGTGATTCTTTGTTCAGAGGAAGCAAGGCACAGCCCTCTCCTATCAGATAGTGCTGAGGGCAGACTTCAGAGAAGTGGGACATGGTATTTGGAAGCGCTTATCATCATAATGGGTGAAGGGGTGGTTATTTTGAGCCAAGTTAGAGATAACGGATTTTGCAGTGGCTGTGTTTTTCGGGGCAATAATCCACATTTCAAATGCATTTAAACAAGTTATTGAGGGAAGGATTCCATTTCATTCTGCTTTGAGTTACTTACAAAATAGTATGTGACCGTTTCTGCCTCACTTCAGTTTCAGACATTTTAGCTTCGCTTCGCTTTTAGAACAGTCTTGAAAACGAGTTACGGTCTTGTGGTTAAAATGGGTCTAGGAATTAATATTTGGATTTCATCTTTGAATATGCTGCAAACAGGATGACGTTCAGTTTTTCTGTCCTCAGTTTCTCTGCATGCAAAAGAGAACAATTGCTGCCTTTCTAATATGCGCTGGTGGTACTGTGTGAAAGACACTGCATTAGTGCACGAGATCACTTGTCCAGATGTGCACGGGCTCTTTAAAGCGAGACACTATGTGGCATTGAAGCTGACTGCACCATCACCTTCCTTGCAAAGAAACGTTGTTGGTAGGCACTGAAGAAGTAAGCCTGACACTGCTTTCATGGAAAGATATGCCAGATCTCCCACTGGTTTCACTAAAAGCTAGGTCAGGCTCAATGAGTTGCCGATAGACCTCTTGCAAATTAAGGCTTCTCCCAGGACTCTTGGGCAAAGTGAAGCTTTGTGGGTTTTGAAAGTGTGTTTTGGTTTTTTGGGGGTTTGTTTTTTGGGTTTTTTTGGTAAGAGAATTGTGCTTCTCATTTTCTGCATGACATTGAGGGTTCTTACTGTTTTAAGTGCCACTGTCTGGTGTTTCACAGATCAGGAATGCGTGCTGTGATTAATCTTGTATCTTCATACAACCGGAGGGAGTGACATAACTAAACCTGCTCTTTCCATCATAATACTGTCGTGTTCCAGCCCACATCAAACCATGTGCCTTCCCAGAAACTTTCAACTCACCGTTAGCTATTACTCAGAGCCCTGTCTACCTTGGAAAGCCCAGACTGTCTCAAATTTCCTTTGCCGTTCGTGTAGTCCTTGTTTCTGGTGATGACTGTTGTGTGATGCTTCAGGACAGGGCAGTGTATGCCCCGACATCAGCCTGCATGCCCAGTTGTGCAATGCCTTTAGAGTTCCTTCCTGATATGTTTTGAGGAATCACCTTCTGCCCTGAAGCATGAAAATTGCTGCTTCTTATCTTCACCTGCGTTACCCTGGCTGCTGTCATCGGTCATAAAGTTATCTGTTGCCCTTTTCAAACCAGCCCCAATGCTGACTCCTCTGACCTTCCCTCCTAATGAATTCCATAGGCTTGATGCGTTATTGAAAAAAAACATTTCTTAAACTTTCCACTAATCAAACTAGGGGACTGTAAATTAAAGAGTATGATACATTGCCTGTAGTTATGCTCAAAGAATATGATCATTAAAACAAACCCAGTATCTCCTTCTTACGGATCTTATGGATCGTGTTTTCCACCTCTGCCTCTATTTAGATGAAATTTGCTAGACTTCAGTGCTGCTTTTCATTCAGGATGATAAAAGGAACAGGATCACCATTCTAAAGTGAATTTCAAAGGACAAAAATCTCAACTGAAGTTTAACTTGAAGTGAAAAGACTTGAGATATTCCTGCAAATTTGGGGACAAAAGTATTTGTATTTTTTTTTCTTTCTTCCTTTCTTGCTGCCCTGTAAGGATTTTATATGAAGAATTTTTAGTTTTTCATGCCATGACCATGTTATGTGCAGCTTCCTTTTTCTTTTAAGTCTGAAAGAGGTCAGATTAAATACACACAATGAAAAAGAGGCTAAGCAGTTCAAATAACTGCAGATGCGCTATTTCGGACTTCAAGCAGCAGGAAGCATCAGTTGCAAACAGTAAATCTCCCAGGGAAAATATGTCAGCAATTTGTCTTTTATAACCTTGCACATAACCATTGGGTAGGAGATTTTATATACAGCGACCCTCTGTTCTTGCTTAATTCAATCTGGCAAAGCAAGATACTACAAATCTTGCCTATTTTTCTGACGCATAGTGGCAGAAGTGTGTTCATTTAGCTTGTAAATGCTATGCATGGGGATCTGAAACCTTTCTGGTAAAGCAGGGAATTTTTTTAGGGAACTGCAACGTTTAGTTCCCTGTCTTGTGGCTGTTGTGATCTTTGGTGAGGGGAAGGGAGGTGCAGTGTTGGGTTCTCCCTCTTCTTCGAGCTGTTGAGCTCTTTGGTTTTGAATTAACCGTCTGTGTTCTCAAAAGAAGGGCTTGTCTGATACCCGCCCACCTTTGTGTGAGACACTTGGTGCTGCTCAGACTGCTTTTGTCTGAAGCTAAAGCAGCAATTTATGGAAAAATACAGACTGGTGTTTATATAATATCTGTTTGTCCCAAAGAAACCCAAGGCATCTAGAAATTGTATGTAGGAATCCCTGTATGTACAAGCACACGTGCATTTCTAAACAGCAGCCATTTCTCATGGTGAGCACAACCATGAAACAGGAATCCCAAACAGCATTTTAGGACAGAAAGTAAGGCAATCCAGCTGTAACCACGGGAGGAAACTTCAGTAGACAGAATGTAATCAGCCAAGTTAGAAATTGGCTAAGACACTCTGCTTTAAGTCTTCTAAGTCTGTTGACACTGCTGTAGGATTATTAATGTCTGTAGGCTGCTTGATGCCTGGACTTCACCTGAGGAATGGCACCTTCTGTGTAGCCCAGTGTCCCTGTAGCATGTTATGGGCCAGCAGTTCAGCAGTGACTCCAAAGGAAGCCTGGATTGTTTCATCCATCCACACCGTTTCCCCGCTGCACCTTGGAGAGATTTGGAGATGTCCCATCCAAGTAATGGATTGCAACATCCCTGCTTACCATTAGTGATTTGGCAGGTTTACTGCAGCAGAAGGCATGGCCACAGGGAGTTTGTTTTCCTTTGGGTCAGGCACTGCACTTTTATGCTGACCTCTGCAAACCCTTGCAGAATTATTTTCTGTGTCTGGTAGAACGGTTTCCTTTTAACGAAATCAAATACAATATTAACCAGTTCTTCTATCAATTTATGATCTCAGCATCTGTCAATACAAGGTAGTTCTTAATGGATTATTCAGATCTACTCTAGTATGTTCATGTTTGTCTTTGGCCATAAACGTTATCCAGATTTTTCTGCAAAAATTTTGATGGGACTTTTACTTTTGGGCCTATTCTGGGGCATTTAAGGTGTCTAAACTGGATATTAGGAACTGACTGGTGATCTTGGATATCTTGGCTTACAACAGCATTGCAGGGAGAGAGAGGAAACTGGATGTCAAAGCAGCTGGTGCCTTAGGAGCCAAAGTCCAGTAACATTCCTGTAACCCTCTGGAAAACAGTGTAATAGATTCAATGCGTGCTCTGTGTGTATCTCTGCAGGCACTGAAGTTATGGTAGGCATGAATTAGGGCCACCGTGAACAAACAATGCCCCTGCAGCATAAGATAATAAGTGTCTGTGATCAGGATCTATTTCAGATACTGCAAGGAATTTGCATTGCATGCCTACTTCTGTTGGATTATTTATAGTTACAGTATTTTAAAGAAAGCTAGTATATGTGAGATAATTTCCGGAGTGGTAAACCACAGTCATTTGTTTATGCTGGATCCTTGCCAGGAGGCAATATACCTCGTCTTGATGGAAATGATAGGCATTTGATGTGAATTTCCTGATACAAGAGCTCCATTTTTTTTTTATTTATTTAATTTTCAGAGAGAGTTCTTCAGACTTCAGAGGGTTTGTACTTGAAGAATTTTCCCACAGCCCCCTGAAAGTGTTTGCATGATTTATTTGCGTTCTTAAAAATAAACATTGTGCTTACTTCACTAATACATTTGCTTGGGGAACAGATTTGGATATGTAAATATGACACTCACGTGTGTGAGAAGATTGCATTGCTGCATGTAAGATGTGATCTGTACTTAAACCAGTATTTTAAATAAATAAATAAGATAATCTCATTTTGGTAGAGGAGTGGTCTGTTTTGACTTAGCCAGTCAATTCATTGACCCATAGCAAAGCATTTTCCTGACTGCTTCATGTCTTCTTACTTGCATTGGTTTGAAAGCAAATTCAAATTAAACTTTCTCATCTTGAGAAGCCTCCAGCAGCTTAAGGAGGGCTCTTCTGCTTTGCCCAGTGAAACTGTGCACCTCAAGAAAGTTCCAGAGAAAAGGCAGTTTAGAAGCGTGGGCTTCTGGGCTTAATCCTATTCCCACTGGAAATCCGATAAGCATTCAGATTAGCTTGGTCTTTGTAGGGATTAAATTTGCAGAGAATCTCAAGTTTTCGTGCTAAAATTGGTTCTTGTCTGGGAAAAGCCTGTAGTAGCAAATAGTGTGAGTCATTTAGTATAGAATAGTGGCATTTTTTCTTATGACATCCAATTTATGTTGTTTTGCCAGTGCTTGCAAGTGCTACATTGCAGGTAGTCCTGTGAAATGCTAATAAAAAATGACAATTACCTAATTGATGCATAACCTCTGCCTGAGGTAATAGTGACCTTAGCTGGGCAGGTTGTCAGCAAAGTGGGAAGATGCAGCTCTTCATACAGTGTCACAGATCTGTATTGTTAAAGGTAGAAGACAAACTTTGTTGGCTGTTATTAATGTTCCTTATCCTTGCAGGAGCTGAGGATAGAATCTGGAAATAGATAATGCAGCATACTTTTCTGGTGTATTATATACACAGGATAGCTTAGTAACTTTACAGTCCTTTTTCAAAATCATATTCTGCCTTTGACAGGTGCTGTGATACCAGATTTCAAAATCTGATTATGTCATAGCTTTCATGATTGTGTTTTTCATCTCTCTCTCCCCCCTCTTCCCCTTTTTAGCAATCTACAATTATGATGCTGTCCAGGATGTGGAGCTCTCCTTGCAAGTTGGCGATACTGTTCACATTTTGGAGATGTATGAAGGTAGGTTGCGGATCACTTCTAAGTACTTTGCACTGCTTTTTGAAAGTAAATATAACAAATCAAGATTATTTTTTTTTAATAATACAAATGTAAGATCTAGATTTTCAACTTCTGATATGCCCAAAAGCACAAAACTTGCTATGTCATGTTTGCTGTATGCGCTTTACTTGTAAAACGGTATTAAAAATGCATAAAATACAGAAGCGATAATCATATCTACACTGTTCCTAGCAGAGGTTTCTCAAGGTAAGATTTCACTAGTATCTCAAGGCAGCACTGCAAGAGAAAGAAACACTTACTTCTGGCTGTTCAATCCTGTTTTCGCACCACACCTGTTTACCTTGACTCCTCCTTGTGCCAGGCCAAGCGCTTGTATAGTCATGTGATGAACTGATCCAGCTGGAAAATAATAATAATAATAATTAAAAAAAAAGTAGCTTTTAACCTGAATTATTTCTTTGATCTGAGACGACAGAGGTAGTGGATGAAAGGAAAGGAGAGGGCAGGTCTAATTGTTTCAAAAGTAATGTTGGTTTAAGCCATAATATCACGAACTGGCATTATATGTTTTAGAAAGCCTCCAGTTATGGAACTTCCATACCCTTTTTAGGCTGTTTCTCCCATTACTTTACTGGGAAGTTTTTCATAATACATACCTTAATGTAAAACATCTTACAGAAAGGAAAACAAAATTCCTATTTTAAACAAGATGAAAATTACACTTGTGTGTTTCATATCTACTTATTAAACTGGACTGTTTAATTAAGATTTCAATATTAGGAATGGAACACAGCCATTTAATTATTTTAAAGAATGTACTATTGACTACTTCGTTAGGAAGACTCTCCAAAATTTAAATACTCTTTCCAATATATAAATGCAATCATTTTCACAAGCAGCATCAGTTTGAAAAAGACTCGGCATACAAAAACTCTTTAGTATCTCTGCTGGGAACAGCAAGCTGCTTGTTTAGCAATTTGTTCTTAGCCAATTGTTCTCTTTCTGCTTCTCTTTGACCTTGACACTGGAAATAGCCAGCCGGTTCCTATGTGTCAGAGCAGATTATGTTGCTGATGTGTGTTTTTACACTGATGTGTGTGATAGTGGTGAGTGTGTTTGGCGGGGGGGGGGAGGCAAAGGGAGAGAGAAGAAAATCTGTATGTAATAGTACTAATCTATGAACTGGTTTTGCAAAAAGACACAAGGAGGAGGGAGTGTCAGGGATGAAAGTTGCCCTCCATGAAGGGGATGCATCTTGTACTTCCCAAAATGTTGGGGTATTTCTTTCTCTGTTTTTTTTTTTTTAAAGCAATATCATTGTTTAATCCTACTACTTGGTCTGTAATCAGCTATTTAACAGAGAGACAGTCAAGAATAGGAAATGAATACCCAAACGACATTCCTTTTTTTACCTGAAATGTCCCCTTTTGGAACTTCAGTCTGAGAAGACTGATTGTAAGTTGTTTGGGAAAGTGAATATGTTTTGCTTGATTTCATATGCTGAGCCATCAATGTGACATCCTAATTTGTGATTAAGGCACCTAGAAATTACTGCAGTACAACTAAACACTTTTCCTGGAAAGACCAGCCAAGAATTTAGGCCAGACATTTGTGAATCTAAAGGAGAAGATGCAGATTGTCTCTGAGATGGTAACTCTGCTGTGGGTCTGGTCTTTTTTCCCCATAAATTCATCTTAAAAACTCAAAAGTATGATATTCTGTCTGATTGGGAGGAAATTCTCATGTCTTATTGTATCTATTTTCCTTTCTTTTGGGACATCAGCTTTCAGCTTTGTTTCCAGATATCTGTGGGTTGTGTTTTTGGGAGTTAGTGTTCCCACAAGAATCTTTTTCTGTTTCTTCTCATGCTAATGATGTATACTTACAAATACAACTCCAGTCTGATAAAAGTGGAGTTTTGTTCCACTAATCATTGTTCTTATCTGGGTACACAAGTCTCAATTTAGAAAAAGGTTCCATTTAACCAGGGCGTTGGCTTTGCAAGAAGAAAGGCTCAGAGATGCCTTGTGAAGTCCTTTTTTTAGTCGGTGTAAGTTAGCCCTGCAGCTCCCAGCTGAGGGTGTTCCTTAGGCTATTGGTAACATTCTTTAGGGAATTAAGGGGGAGTTTCTCAGGATTGTCCAGAGACTCTCATGTAATGGTAACAACCACTTGGAAAGTATTGCTCCTTGCTATTGTTCCCTACCTCAGGATGCACAGGCGCATCTTTGTGAGTTATGAGAAGGTTCTCAGGGCTGTTGCACCACAGTTCGCTTCCCGCTCTATCAGTTATCTAGAAAAAGCCCCTTTTTCCTCCTGGTTGAAGTCAGCAGGTATTCGGTATTCATTCCTCAGCTGTGTTTGGTGCAGGCTCTCTGTGTATCAAACAGTCTTCACTTGAAAGCTCTTTGTATCCCTCATCTGAGATTTTGGCTGGCTCCGCTCTGTCTGTAAGAATTGAAGTGCACAGTTTGTTCCTTAACAGCAAGGCAGCAAGGTTGAAGCTTGCGCTCGATTTTGGCGTTAACAACAAACGTTATCTGACTCCCAACTGGATGAATAGCTTTGAGTCGTAACACTGATACAGCAAAGCCACTGGAGGAGGTGTGTGAGAGGCAAGGAGCAGTAAAGTGAATTAAAATGCAGGTCAGGAGGTATGGATGCAGTTTGGTGCAGGCCTCGGTAGTATGCAAACTTCTAATGTTACGTGGCTTTGCCACAGGCCGTAGTGTGTCACAGACCCTTAAAGCACTTTTAAATTGCAAAATCCCTGCTCGCTTATGCTAGTGCATCCTATCAGGAGTTAAAGGCCTGTTGGAAAGGCTGAAAGTCCTTGGAAAGTTGGCCAAATTTGGGGTGAGACTCTGCCATTGCACTTGTTAGTAAACCTTTCTTTTCCCATGCTCTAAACAGATGCTTTGCCTAATGTGTTACAAGTCCCAGTTATAACTACACAGACTTGGATTGTGAGTGAAGGTCATCAGAGCCAAAACCACAGGCTGAGCAGCTTGAACTAAAGGTTTCAAATATTTCTAGTACAAGCTCTAACGTGCTGATGTCCAATGCAGCTCGAATCCGTATAGGGACAACCTGAGAGCTGTTTGCTGTTGGGTTGAATAACTCCATAGTCTAGACTGGGCAGGATTTCCTTCAGTCCAGGAAAATGAAGATTGTGGCATACTGCATCTTTGTCAGTCTGTTGTTAGGTGCAGTTGTAAATGGGTTTTGCCCTGTAGATATGGTCTAAATTCGCATATTCAGTGTTTTACTTTGAGACTGATTTTAAGTAACTTTTGAAGTGTCTTAGTTGGGCTTCAAGCATGCTTTGAAACACCATGGTGTATTTATTATACATGAAGATCTGGAGTATACCAGTTTTCTTAGACATACCTTGCCTTTAAAACAAATACACAGAGACCCTCTGCAAAGCATGGTTTTGTTAGTTTCGGTATCTTGGTCGTGATACACTCTTGTAAACTGCACAGCAAGTATTTTGGTTTTCATCCTTTCTCTGGTTGACTGTCTGGTTGCAGAAGGGCATGAGGTCTTTGTACAAAATTACTTTTCCCGCTTGATAATAAGATAAGCAGTGAGTGCTTATCCTGTTGTTTGCCAAATATTGTCAAGACTGGGCATATGCTGCAAAATCCAAGAAAAGAAGGAAACTTGCTGTGTCCAATAATTTGAAGGCTGCTTCAGTGCAGGATTTGCTTACTCTCTGGGAGTCTGTCCTTGAGTAGTGAGCTGGGGAGGATATGCTTCTGTTTAGGGGAATCTTTTCTAATCTGCAGTATATATTATTATTTCATGCAAGCTGTGGGAAATTGTCACATTGTGGA